TGCATGTCTGCAGAGCAGAGAGTAAAGAGCAAATGTTCCACCTGAATGTAATTGAGTATAGTTGGTAAAAGAGATGCATATTCCTTCTATAATCCAGAAAAAAGTTCACAAAAACGTGGATAAATATACCTTCACCATTATCATCAGCACTTAGCAGTATGAGCGTGTATTTGAGTAGAGGTATCAATGTTAAGGTCCAAAAGATGAGAGAAAATGCACCAAATATGGCATCCTCATTGGTATGACTTGACAGCTTCCCAACAAATATGCTCTTGTATACGTAAAGAGGAGAAGTGCTCAAATCTCCATATACCACCCCAAAGCTTTGGTAGGCCAAAAGCAAGTTTCTGGAAAGATCTGCCAAAGGAATCTGCAAGTCCACACACATCAATTTGTAGTTCAAATTCAAATGTGCTGGTACAGATATATTCATATCGAGGTGGATAGTTTCTTGGATGCAGGATGCATTTGTTTGTGATCATATGTGGCACATAAGCACCGCAGAAAGAGAGAGAGAGAGAGAGAGAGAGATGTCCTACAGGTGACCTGAAATATTAAATAGCCAGAGCTCCAGAAAAACAATTAGTAATACAGAAGGTCAACAGACTTTATTTTAGTGGTTATTTAGAGGGGCAGAGATGGCAAGCAAGAAGTAAGGTCGGGGGAGTAATGGAGGGAGTGCGAATCAAACCTCCATCCTAAGACAATAAACAGAGACCCTTGCGATACCCGATTCTTGAGGTTATTATTAAGAACATAAGAACTTAGGACAGATAACTTCCTTTCCTACTTTTCCAAGCTAACAGGATATTGTCCCCCTCTAGCTAAGAATGGAGAATGTCAAAGCAACTATAGGCATGCTTTAGACCCTCCTTGTCAATAACTTTTCGGACACCAAATTTGTTCCTTGGTGAAGCAATTTGTAATCTTTGCAGCACAGGAAAAGAAAACACCTTATGTCAACTTTCTAGGAGGATACATTTACTTTTTCTGGATATTATCTACACTACCACTCAACATCTGATCAAACCAGTAATAGCACAAGTGATGCTAAAACAGCATCAAAAAACACAGTACTTACAATCAATAAGCCTATCATAGTAATTAGATGGAAATATATCATAAGATAATAAAGTGAATTCCTAGTCCATAACTTAAACAAGTAAAAGTTCAATGCTTTACATATTTGCAGTTCACTAAATAAAAAAAAAGGTTTATTACTAAGGTGAGTTGCAGGCCATTAATGGGTTCTTTGCTCTTTTGTAAAGTTACTGATTAAATAAAAATGTTGCTTGCTGTGTGAACATTATTAGCACCCTACAGAAAAGTATAAAATAAAAAAAAAAAAACTTGAAATTATATTTGCCCCACCGCAAATAACCCTGGCTCTACCACCGCTCACAGGCTCTTCAATAAAGAACTAAAATTAATAAAGAACAGTAGTATGACATGTATAGCAAAGGGTTTCACAAAGAAAACTAAGAAGGCAGGCAATAAAAAGCAGATGTTCCAATACCTTGGCAGCTAAATTTTTGGTCCTCTTGGGCACCTGGGTTGGTTCAGTTCGTCCCTCTGGTCCACTAGCACGACTGGAATTTTGACCTCCATTGGCTGCTTGCTGACGCAAGACATCATCACTGTCTTCCTCGCGATCAATATCAACAGTATACATCTATTGCCACCCAGCATTATATACAAACAATTTCAAAAGTTTTTATTCAATTGATGTTGCTAAATGTTTATTTAAAGAAGAGAAGTAGTAAGAGTTTGAACAAGCAAGCAAGCAAAAAACTTTGCTGAGAACAAAGCAGAAATTGAAACTCCAAGCATTAAATTAATCCAAAATGTAGAGAAGTCCCAGGCAAATAAATTCAGTTACAAGAACGATTGAATAGTGCGTTTCAGAATGAAACCCATCTGGGCCAGCATAGAAGCTAGAGGAAAACACCAAATTAATTGTAAAGATAAGCAAGTAGTAGATACAGAAAAACGAAATCTTCAGGTAGCAACAAATGATGAACCCATTATCACACAAGCATACATAAACGACATGTCAATATATGTGGAAATTCAGCTCACAAATAAATAATTGTCAATCAATCAATCAAAGCTCAATGACAAGGGAGAAACAGCGAAGTGATATCCATGTCATCACAAAGTTAAAGTTCGTATCTTTCTTTGGAAGAAATGATGGAAATACATATGCATAGATGATAGACACAGGATTGGAGAAATCCGGATTGATGAAGAACATACTTGGAACAAAATCCAGGATTGGAGAAGAACAAAACAAACTATCCACAGACAGACAGACGGGATGGGATGGGATACATGAATTAAAAATGAAACCCCAGAAAGCTCCACCCCCCTGGCAAAGGCAGAAATTTACATCGATGGGTGCACGTAGAGAGAAATGCCAAAAAAGGGAACAGAGAGGTCGAAATCCCAAAATTAATAAGAATAGAAAAGGGGGGGGGTAGAAAAAATGACTCACCGCGGAATTGGGGGATGGATTGATGATATGGGCGACGGAAAGGGCGGAGGGGAAGATGGCAGGCTCAAGCTATATTGATTAACACAACACAAGTAGCAGCAACACACTTCTTGTTGTGTATTGGGAGGGAGGGAGGGATACTACTGTCTGCAACTCTATATCTCTTCTCCTCTTTTTCTATATACATATATATAACCAATGAAAGCATTAATAATTATCAATTGGTGATGATGAGAATTGATGTCAGGCTTCATCAACATCTACATCTGCTCGCCTGCTCCTCTGCATCTGCATCTTATGAAGTCGTAGTTGTATTTGGCTCCTGACTCCCACCATTTCACTTTCACCTCTTTTTTAAGTTTTTCTTTTCTTTTTGGTTCGGTTTTTGACTACTCGTTAGTACTACGTAGGATAGAGGGATCATTTTTGTGACAACAAGTGTGCGGTGGGGGGCCCCTGTTTTGTGTTCCCATCCCCCAATCATTTTTAAATTTTAACATTAAAATTACACTAATATGCATATATATATATATGGGGTCCTAGTACCAACTGGCAATTTATTTAGAGAGGAAAGAGGGGCAAGAACGGTTGCAGTTTATGGTCAAGATTTGATTAAAAAAAATTTTGAGATTCAGATTTTATCTTGTATCTTGTTTTTAACAATATATATGAGACTCACAAAATTTTGTTCTAGAATTACACGTTATTTTGTTGAAAATAAGTTACATCATTTACAAATAAATTTATGGCGCGTGCAAAAATGCACGTAATCTTAAGGAATGATTGCTCCTGCAATCGTTCCTGCCTCAAGTCGTCCTTTAAAGAGTACCTTTGATAGAGCATGATACACCACCACTGCAACTGCAACAAAGTTGGTGCTAGTAATGATTAAGGGTTGTGTTTCGAGAGGAGAATGAACTAAAATCTTATAAATGAAGTTTGAATTTTTGTAAATTATTGAATTGTTAAGTACTAAATCTGACACGTACGTTTGAATGTATATCGTATTAAATAATAAATAAATAATTTATCACTCATTTTTAAAAATAAATTTTATTTATAAAATTTTAGTACCCCTTAATTAATTCAAATATCCCATTTTTTTATTATCAAATGTATCTGAATCGTTGAATTTGAGAGACAATAAAAATGATCCATCCACACGATTTTCACGCGCATCAGCAACAGCATCTCCCTGTTCCTGATGCGGACTGGACTCTCGTACCCTTTACCACCACCAAGCACTAACTAGTCATTTCTGGCTCCGCACCACAGCTTCTCATTATTAGAGGATAAAAATTGAGAGACTTCTTCCTAGAGGGACCGTAGAATTTTCGTACGTGTGTAAGCTTAATATTGATTTTTTTCCCATCATTTTTTTTTTCAATTTTTAACCAAAAATTCAACATGAAATAAAGTTTGCAAAATTTTAATTTCGTGAATTCGTCTCTGTATATTTGATTTTACATAAAATATGAGTGAAATACTATCTTTTTTTTTTTTACAACACGAAAAATAAAGCAAACTAACATAACAAAATTATAGTGTCCTCGTAATAAATTAACGATAAAAATTATATTACTCTATCATGAGAGAAACTATATATAATTTTTTATCTCCATCTCTATACATACATCGAGTACTTTATTCCCACAATATATAAATAAACAAAAGGGATCCACGTTAAAAACTCTCCATAATCATTTACCTCTTGCACCGATTTAAACTCAACAAGTAGTGCTTTATCATTTTTTTTTTAGATTAACTAACTTTTTAATCACCAAGTTAAAAAAAAAATTCACTAAGAAAGTAACCTTTGATGATGAGTATAATTATCTTATAAAACCAATGAAAAATGCATGGGTGCACGGTACACACCAAGTCGGGACATTGAACGGGTGATCCTCATCCTCTAGATATGTAGATAGATGCATCGTATAACTCTAAACTTGGGTCCTTGAGCCTCTGTGGAAGAGGATAATCCTCTATTTTTTTTTTTTAATCTAGTATAAACGGGGAAATGGAATGCCCTCTATTCATGAGTTCCTAAGATGGCACCAATTGTAAAAACAATTGGGGAAAAAAAAAATTAGATCCAATTGTAAAAACAACGAGAAAAATCGGATAGTTGACCTACTGGAGTGATATGACCTGAATTAGAATTGCAAACGTGTCGAGTCGAGTTAAACTTTAGGTTAATCGAGCGAGTCTTGACTTAATTTCATCAAGTTAAAATTAGAGCTCGAATTCGACCAACTGTTAATTTAAAATTCGAACTCAAACTAACTCAAATTCTGAGTCGAGTAGAACTCAATTTCCAAAAAAATAAAAGTAATTATTTAAAAAATAAATAAATAATATAATATTTTTTGAATAAATAAAAATATATAAGGAATATATATAATTTTATTATTAAAATATAAAATAAAAATAAATAAATAATATATATATATATATATATATATATATATATTTATATGCTCGAACTTAGGATTTAATAATTTGAGTTCGAACTCGAATTCGATTTCACTCTATCAACTTGCAAGCGGTCGGTTGGTTTGCAGCCCTAACCTGAACTAGCAAGAGAAGTTGCATCAGAGAAACCAGTCGTCAGAGGTTATCAAGTTGGTTTCGGAAGTAATTAGTAAATGATGAAGTGAGTATTAGAGAAGTGAATGCCGTTCGTTCACCTTTACTCATAATACTTTAGCTTCTTCATTGAGATTGGGATAAGCTGTGTGTCGGTGGTGCGAGCGAGCTCCCTCCCTCCCTCCTATGGAATAGAATAAGGTTTATCACTATCCTTATCACAACTGATTAAGGTATGCTATTAGACATATTTTGGAAGTTTTTACAATTGTCCAATTCACTTATTTCTTGTAAAAATCTTTCCTTTGGCTCTCCTCTCCACTTTTATTACTTTAACTAGACTAGTAGTAGTATTAACTAGTCTATCAAAGCTGCAGAATTCAATTCAATTCAATCTTCTGCTACTTCTTCTTCTTCTTCTTTTCTGACTCTTCCATTATCCCATTTCCGCCCTTAATTTAATACATGCAATTCGCATATTTCTTCTTCTTGTAACGTAACTGCTTCCTTCCTGTCAAAGTTTACCATTCTTCCTGAACAATTAATTTTCTTCTTTGGTACAAATTTACAACCTCCTTTTTTTAAAAAAAATGGTATATATTAATTGTTGCTGTAACTAATTGGGACAATAATCCTCTTTTTTGGTTTTTTGGGTGTATAGTTACAGTATTGCAAAATGTGGCAAGTAGTTTATACCTTGATGTCGTTTCTGTGTAGCTATATTTCTTTCGATGATTGTGGAAGTTTTCCACTTCAAATTGATGTTAGTTGAGTGAGCCTTATGTGTTTGTTTTTTTGCTTGACAGTAGTTGAGCATTAACTCGGCTCACTACATCCTAAACTTTGCTTGCTCATTTGTGTCAGCGGATGAGCTTTTCGCCTTCACCATTGTTGCAAGCCGTCCGGGTGCCACATTTCCCTGCAGACCAATCAGTATCACCATTTCTATTTGTCTGAATTTTACTTGATGGAAAAGCTAATCCTAAGTACTACCGCTTTTCCTAGCTTTCAAAGAAAACCCTCATTACTTTCCACCTTGGTGCCTTCTGATGCTACTGTAAAGCTGGCAGCAGCAACAATTCCCATCACAAGTACAAAAACTAAATCCCCTTCCCATTTTGGTCTTCTTTTGCATAGGAGTTGCTGCGTTAATCCTTACAAGGGCAATAACGCTGTAGGCGTTCGGACCCTTCACCATGATCATGATGTTGACGACAGCAACGACAAAGATGACGCTGAAGTTGCGGGTGACCATCAACTGCAAAAGGAGGATTCTGCTAGCACTGATTGGGAGGTGAAATTTCTTGGGCAAATGGGCCCTTTCCAGAACTTACCCTCTGAAAAGAGGAAAGAGCAACAGAAATCCAGGTTGTTGCAAGATACTGATAAGATGGATTGGTGTGTGAGAGCTAGGAAGATTGCCCTCAAATCTATTGAAAACAGGGGCTTGACTTCTGTCTTGAAAAATTCTGTCAACGGTAATAAGAAGAAGAGAAAGAAGAACAAAAAGAAATCCAAGGTTGAGGATGTTGTTATTAAAGAACTGGACGATGATTCAGATTTTGATATTCACGAGGGAGATTTCAACAATGTGGCTGATCTGCATTCTTCGGATGATACAAGTGACCTCAGGGAAATGGTGAGTATGATGGCTGATGGAATGTTTCAAGAAAGAAAGGACAAAACCATGGAAACATTTATTCAGAGGATTTCTCAGTTTTCGGGGCCATCTGATCGTAGGAAAGAGATTAATTTGAATAAACTCATTGTTGAAGCACAGACTGCTGAGCAAGTATTGGAAGTCACTGCTGATATGATCATGGCTGTTGTGAAAGGGCTTAGCCCTTCACCGCTTTCACCTTTGAATATTGCAACTGCATTACACAGAATTGCCAAAAACATGGAGAAAGTGTCAATGACAAGGGCTCGCAGATTGGCTTTTGCTCGTCATAAAGAGATGTCCATGCTCGTGGGAATTGCAATGACTGCATTACCTGAATGCTCTGCACAGGGAATTTCAAATATTGCATGGGCTTTGTCAAAGATAGGTGGCGAGCTTCTGTATCTCTCAGAAATGGATAAACTGGCAGAGGTAGCCTTGACCAAGGTTGGTGAGTTCAATTCACAAAATGTTGCCAACATAGCTGGTGCTTTTGCCTCTATGCGGCACTCTTCTCCAGAACTATTTTTGGGTTTAGCCAGAAGAGCCTCAGAGATAATCGACTTATTTCAGCCACAAGAGATCGCTCAATTGTTGTGGGCTTTTGCTTCTCTCTTTGAGCCTGCCGACCTTTTGCTGGATTCTTTGGATCATGTTTTCAATAATATCAACCAATTCAAGTATTCCATGGATGTTGTAACTAAAAATGCTAGTCTAGAAACAGGAAGGGAAGTTAATGGAGAAGCCACATCTGAAAGCAATTTATGCAGCCCTGTCCTCAGTTTTAATAGGGATCAGCTTGGGAATATATCTTGGTCCTATTCTGTTTTTGGACAGATGGAACGTGTCTTCTTTAACCATGTTTGGAGAACGCTAAGCCAGCTTGAGGAACAAAAGATTTCTGAGCAATACCGGGAGGGTGTAGTGTTTGCTTCTCAAATTCATCTTGTGAACCTATGTCTGAAACATGAATTTCCACATCTCCAGTTGTCTCTGAAGAGTGATTTGGAGGAGAAAGTTGCTCGAGCAGGAAGAACCAAGAGATTTAATCAAAAGACCACTTCCTCATTTCAGATGGAGGTGGCACGTCTTCTTGTTAGCACAGGCCTAGATTGGGTCAAAGAATATGAGATGGAAGGGTACACCTTGGATGCAGTTTTGGTTGATATTAAAGTTGCACTTGAGATTGATGGTCCAACTCATTTTTCAAGAAATTCGGGTTGGTACCATCTCTAGAGACCTTGTAGTATCTATTTTAATTTGAATTTTGCTTATACTGCAGTTAATCTAATTCTTAACCTACTTTGAAGGTGTCCCACTCGGACATACAATGCTAAAACGCCGCTACATTGCTGCTGCTGGTTGGAAGCTTGTGTCCGTGCCGCACCAAGAAGTGAGTAATCTACTTAGTTACTAATTCTTCTTCATTTTCTTGGTGTGCATTAAAAAATGTCTTATTCAATGATCTAGAATGAGTTGACCCAAGAGATTCATACAACCAAACGATAACCAGTCTCTGTATCTCCGCCTCGTTTCATACTACCCTCCTTGCACCACAATTTACTGTCCAAAGAGGAAAAAAAAAAGATGCAGATGAAAATTCTGGCATTGGTTTCCTTTCCTGAGACTTTTTTAGCATTCCTAGGTTATCATCTCTATGATGTCCGTATGTCATACCTGTTGTTGGCTAAGTGACCAACTATTAGGAGTCGAGACTTTTCTCTGAAAGCTTCTTTACATTCCAATTCAGAAAAATACTTTGAATGCAAAGTAGTTTTTGGTAACAAGAGGAACTATATGGTTCAGGATACGCTGTTTTCTTTGCAATGCCTTGGAAATCAAGTACAAATTTCTATATGGACGTGAAGATGTTAGAATTGATAAACTTAAAATTTCACATCAAGCAAATGGTTCCTTCATATTACTGGATTGCCGTTGGCAGAAATTATTTTGGTGGTGATAGTTGAATGTTACTATACTATGTGACTGGATCTGTTTAATCTGTAAGTGGATGACTAGGCCAAAAAGTGTAGGAATTCTTCTATGGGTGTGGGAGAAGGCCCGAAGCCTTCAAGACAAATGTTTGGTTTGTCCCCCGAACACCTACCAGATAACAGAAGTTGCCTTCTGAAATGATAGGCACTGACAACCATATAGTAGTTTGAGGGGTATAGAAGAAAGCCATAAGAGCTATCTATTGGATTCCTGAGTCTAGAATACAATTGGTGTCATCAACTCACCTTTATGACTTTGATCTCTTTATCAACTATTTAATCCTATTGCTGTACCAAAAACATAATATTTCGGGACTCTTTTATTCAATGGTTGGTACATAAACAGTCTGTGAACTAAGCAGCAGAATTCCTGTATTGCCTCTAGTAATTTGTCAGTTTCAGAAAGCAAAAGGAAAGGGTAATAAACCCTTTTGTGTAGTACACTCTGGTGTGCAAATTGTGATCTTGTAGAATTTAGGTTGGATTTTGCAATATTTTTGCCTGTCTTCTTATTGTTATAATAAGGTTATGTGCATGAAATCTTCAGATGTATCACCAAATACGCATGAATTATATAAAAACGCTGATTTTGTACTTTGAGCAGTTGGTAAAGAAAAGTTTACTTCTAAATGATAGTTCCATGCTCTTTAACAATAGATTCATTTCAAAAGAATGACTTTTACACAAACACCATGGAAAAGATTCTGGAACTTTTCAGAATTTGCCATGGCGAAAGATTCTCCAATTTGAGACCACATAAGTGCCTTTAGATGGCAAATTATTAGTGTGCTCTGAGCTACGGTGCCGGTCATGTACTAGACAACAACCTTCATTCTCCACAAGCTTCATTAGTTTCAGTTTTCACTGGAATTTTGAAGCTTCCTTGTGATTTTGCGTGCTATACCTTTGTTTCCCGTCTTTGGAATCAGCAGTTGATTAAGAGAAAGTGTTATACGAACTGTTCTTAATTGTATGCCCTATAGTAGAGGGAGGTCAAATTTTCATTTGTACTTTCCCTCGTTTTCCAAAGTAGATGCATGCGAGTTTCAATCCCTCTTACTTTCTGTGGGCCATCTGCTGGGAGTTCCAGTTTAGTGATTTTTCACCCCGTGCTACAAATATGTATGAGGATACATTTGACTTAAAAAAAACCACTCCTAGTTCTTGGTGTTTTTCTGAATCCCTAATCCATGGCAGGACTCCCTAAACATATAGAAGCAACAAATGAAAACTTTTGACATGTAGCATTTATGTGGTGGTGGTGGTGTTGTTGCAGTGGGAAGAACTTCAGGGCGAATTCGAGCAGCTGGATTACCTAAGAAGAATCCTCGATTATCACATTTGTAAAGAGAGAGAGCATCACTCGGTCTGGTGAATTGGGTTAAAGTGTGTTAAAAGGTTTCCCTGGTCGAGGACAAATGAGTGTCACTCTTCACTTGAGTTAGCTGTTGCTGTTTCCGAGTACAGGTACATATGAAGATACAAGCTCAAAGACTCTTGTCCACGGGCTCCTGCTTTTGTTAAGGATTAAAACGACTCGTATGGAGGCCCACAATCTATTTGGATGAAAAATCAGCTCTTGTCTCGGTCACTTGTGTCCCAGGATGTGCCACCACCATTTAATCAGTAATTACAGAAGATTCTTGGGGCAGGAAAGTATCTGAGTTTTTATGCCATGTAAAAGAATCTTTTGCTTAGAACAATCTTCAGAGGTATCTCATCGTGTTGAGGAACTTGGATTATTCAATACTCTCAAAAACTGAATGTAACATGCGGCTTGAGGCTATTAATAGCCGTAACTAAGACCTAATAAACTGGAAAAATAACAAGGAAAGTTCGGCCAGCCCTTGCCCTATACTTGACCGAAAGCTAGCCCAACTAACTATAGATCATAAGCTTCGGGGGCGTTGCCCCGAACCCCCACCGGGGTTTCGCTGCGCCCCCGGGCCCCAAGCCAGGGGCGCGTCGCCCCCTTGGACCCCCGACTCGCTGACTGGACAGCGAGATCCCCGTACGGCTCCGCGAGGGTACTTAACTGCGGCTCAGCCCGCCGTTTGGAGCTTGAACACTCGCATCTTCAATTGTAAGCAGCATTTTAGTAGTCGTGCAAGGATATTCCAACTCAATTCCTTCAATGCCCGGTTTCTCTTGGGTTTGGATGGCACGTACCAAGGCTTGGAGGGACTCCTTGAATCTCTTAGCTCGTGCTCGTGTTCACTGGGCCTTGGGGCACCTTCACAGGGTCTACTTGTACACTTTGGGCCTCGTGCTCAACCGCATCATTCCCCTCCTCTTGAAAAGGATTTGCCCTCAAATCGTACTCGTCCCCTGCAATAAATGGACTTAGATCAGCAACATTGAATGTAGCACTAATATTTTTTTTAATTTTAATAGTAAAATTACATATATATCCTTAATATTTTATTATTTATTAAGAAAAAAATATTATTTTATTTATTTTTTAAAAAATAAAATAATTATTTTTTATTTTTTTCGAGTTCGAGCTCGAGTTTGAAATTGTCAACTCATCGAGCTCGAACTCAAGTTCGAGTTCAATGAAATTATGTCGAGACTCGACTCGATTAGGTCAAAACTCGATTCGATTAGATTCGCTTCCAGCGCTAGTGTAAACACTGTTAGTATGTATAAGATTTATTCATATATAAAATAGTTTCTGATATATTGTTAAGAACTTTAAGATACAAAATTTGGCAATGGCTGTGGTCAATATTGGAGTATTATGAATGAAAATTGAAAACTCGTGATATACAAAAGAAAATGATTAATCTTGTATTATGTTGATTGTGTGTATATGTTAGCGATTCTGAACATATATCAGATATTTTTTGAAAAAAAAAAATTACATGCTAAGTAACATACAACTGAAACAATAGAAATAAACTAAAATATGATTCACATTCCTACGACTAAAAGATGGTTCACTTTATTGAATTTATTTATGGATATAGAACTAATAAACTAAAAGATGACTCAATTCATTGAATTTAATTTAGGAATTTTTATATTCATATCAATTGCAATTTAGATGATATGTCCTGATTTTCAATCATTTTTTTTTTTTTTATAAATGGACTCTAATTTCAGTTTTCAATTTCAATTCTTACAAACGCATTTGCATTTGTATAGACATTACAGTGTCAATGTACAGGATTCATTCAAGGCAAAAATAATAAATAAATAACCAAAAAAGGAGTTTTGTAGCGAGTGTACTGAGGCCGGTGCAGCATTCTTGTTTTTGTTCACACTAATAAAAATCAGAACAGCAAAAGTCTATCTCCGTCCTCATCGTTCCCATTCTCACTCACGCTCTCTACTTCCCACTCCGCTTGGATTATCTATCAAATTTCTCTCGCAGGTATATGAATAAATGGATTCCACAAAAAAAAATAAAATGGTGTCTGTTTTCTTTATCTTTTTTCCGTGATCCAGCAGATTGTATTGTTCATTCAGATTAATTGCTACTACTTTGTGTTTGCTTCTAGTCCGTACTCGTACTTGTGAATTTGGGAACTTGTTCCATGTCGATTCAGTTCATTCATCTCTCTCCCTGTTTTCTGTCATAAATGCTGCTGCTGCTGCTAGTATTGCATTCTTGGTGCAGATCGGATCTGATCGAAATTTTTGGTTTATTTTTTTTTTAAAAAAAGTTTATGTCTTTCTGGGTTTTCTTTTGGATTGCTCGTTCACTCATTGCTGAAAGCCAGATCATTCTTCAGTGTCTGATATGTTCTCCCTGTTTGTATTCTCTATTTCTTTTTTATGGCTTCTTTTTTCTTTTGGTTGTTGTTAAATGTTTTCTTTCATTTCTGCTTCTTTATGCTCTTTTTGTAGTGAATATTATTAGTACCATCTGCCAAAGACCGTAGCTTTAACGCCCATCGTTTGCTCATTGCTTTTTCTTGCTCTGTTGCTTTGTCTCCGGAGGATTTCCTTTTCCATTTGCGTCTGTCTTAGTTAAGACACTACCACTGTAATTTGCAAAATGAGTGTTAATCAGGTTTATTACTCTGATCTTGGGGGTTGGGATGAAATTCTGCTTCAGCTTCTCCTCTATAGCCTATACTGCCACCCCTTAACTATTACTCATTCATTCTTTTTCAAGGGTTAGCATGGTAGTTGCTCGTCTCTTTTTATTCATGCTGCTGGAATTTTCTCTTACAAACTTTTACCAAATGTAATTTTTACCTTAACCTATTATTGATTTTTTTTTGGTTTACTTCTTTTGCGACTCAATATGGAGACAAAACTTGAGTGAGTGCTAGCTAAAGTAGTCTCATCGAAACTGGTTGCTCATAATATCCTTTTCTTCCCGTACTTGTATAGCTTCAGCTACTTTGTTTTTTTCAAGTTGCCTAGAGTAGTTCCTGTATATTGTATTAATTTGTTCAAACTTTAGAGCTTGGATTATCAATTTATACTGTAAGTTGCTTTCTTTCTTTTTTTTTGTGCTTACTTTTCTGCTTTATCATTCTTCTTTACTATTCTTCTATCAAGGCATGGCATCTTCTGATAACCCAGAGATAGTTGAGAGGGCCATCAAGGAGAAAGAGGAAAAAGAAGACAAAAAAGATGAACAAAAGGGCGGATTTCTTGAGAAAGTGAAGGATTTCATTCAGGATATTGGAGAGAAGATTGAAGAAACCATTGGATTTGGGAAACCCACTGCAGATGTCACAGGAATTCACATCCCTTCCATCAATCTTGAAAAAGCAGATATTGTTGTTGACGTGCTTGTTAAAAACCCAAATCCCATTCCAATCCCTCTTGTTGATATCAATTACTTGGTTGAGAGTGAAGGGAGGAAATTAGTATCTGGGCTGATCCCGGATGCTGGAACTCTCCATGCACATGGTTCCGAGACTGTCAAGATACCACTTACTTTGATATATGATGACATTAAAAGCACCTATGACGATATCAAGCCTGGCAGTATTATTCCTTATAGGATCAAGGTTGATCTCATAGTGGATGTGCCTGTTCTTGGCAGGCTAACTTTGCCAGTTGAGAAGACTGGAGAGATTCCCATACCATATAAGCCTGATGTTGATCTTGAGAAAATTCGTTTTCAGAGATTTTCTTTTGAAGAAACTGTTGCTCTACTGCATCTGAAGATTGAGAACAAAAATGATTTTGAGTTGGGGCTCAATACACTTGACTATGAGGTTTGGCTGTCTGATGTGAGCATTGGGGGTGCAGAACTCCAAAAATCAGCTAAAATTGATAAAAATGGGATGAGCTATGTTGATATTCCCATTACCTTCAGGCCAAAGGACTTTGGATCTGCTGTTTGGGACATGATTAGAGGAAAAGGCACTGGCTACACCATCAAAGGACACATAAATGTGGATACGCCTTTTGGAGCTATGAAGTTACCCATCAGCAAAGAGGGTGGTACCACTCGCTTCAAGAAGAACAAGGAAGATGGAGGCGACGATGACGATGATGAGGTTTGTGGGTTCTTAGTGTTTGTTTGTCTTTTGGTGTGTCTTTTTCTTCCGTCCAATGTTGTTCAGGCTTTTTCATCTTTTAACTTCATTTCTGTGATGATACAGTAATGTATTTTTCATCTTTTAATCAGTCTGAGTTATACCATGGGAATTGACCTGCAAACTCTGTATTTGCATAATGTTGAAAATATTGACTTGACCAAATTATTGCTGGTGATAGATTCAGAAAGTATTTAGTGCATATATTGAACAAAATGTGGGGTATTTATGTAAATATATGTTGTCATCGATATTGGGTACTACCCAAGTTTCATTTTTGAGATAGGCTAACTAGAATGCTGGAATTGATGGTTAGTGCTAATTTAGAAGAGCTAGCTAGTTAGATGCTAATTGAAGATGTAAGTTCTCAAGTACATCTCTATTGCAACCCTTGAGATGCATAGCTCTCACGTGTTCTAGTGAGCATTCAATGATTAGGCTTTGGTTTTTGGAACCACATGTTTCGAGTTCATACAGATTTTCCTCCTCTTAGCAACCCACTAATGAAGTCCTCTGAACTTTCACAATTAGTACATTCGATAGTCTGAATTCCGAAAGATTGAATTCTTAGATGCTGAGTGGGATACATATTGATCTAATGCATAATTTCACGAACACGTCTTTAGGAACTGTGGTTAAGGTGAATTCTCAGTATGTTGGGAACATAAATGAATGACAACGCAACAAAGATAACGCTTTTTATTTTTACAGTGATTTTATTCTACAACATGATATTAAACATATCCATGACTGTGTAGCTAATTGAGATCTTTCTGATAACCTTTGAATGAACAAGCATTCATCACTTTTTGTGCTTATAGCATACTGCTGCAGGGGACAGAAATGTGTTGCTTTTTTGCCAGAATCATTTGATTGCCCTTGAGTTATATATGTTGGTTTTGAACTTAACATATTATTGCCCCACCTGATATAGCTGGGGCAGTGAAATATCTTGTTGTTGGACTTTTTGCAAATGTTGGCTGAGGAAAGAAGTGCATTGGTTTCAGAAGTCCCTCCCCACTCCCACACCCCCCCCCCCCCCCCCCCCCCCCCCAAAAAAAAAAGGCGCCCCACCCCTTTCCCTTTAAGAGTTCCCAATGGTCCCTCGCATCGAAATATTGTTAACAAATGACCAGTAGTTTTCTAAGTCTTGGGACCATTTCCACCTATCATCTTACTATTTTCGTACTGTTTCCTGAGGAATAGATGGTAAGGGAAATCTTTTGACATT